GGACTCAAGGGTCCCAGGTTCGAGTCCGGTCAAAGGCATGTACCTTGGTTGCAGGCACATCCCCAGTAGGGAGTGTGCAGGAGGCAGCTGATCGATGTTTCTAACTCTCTATCCCTCTCCCTTCCTCTCTGTAAAAAAATCAATAAAATATATTTAAAAAAATAAAAATCATCATTCTCCCCTTTTAAAAAAAATAAAAATAAATAAATAACAAAAGTATTTTCTGGTATTTTATATACCAGTTTTCCATTATCGTCCCAAGTTTACTTCAATTCCATTTAAGCTCTTTTCTTCTTGATATCATTCAAGCACACAGTTTCTTCTACAATAAACTATAACATATTTAACAAACTGCTAAAGGTTATACGTCAACCTCCTGTGTCACTAAAAGTAGAAAATCTTTCTCTTTTTTAATTTGGCTTGACCACTCAATCCTTTTGCTTTCTCTTCTGGAACTTACCTATTCTCCACACCTCTACCCTCTATCCCAGCCGTGGGCAAACTACGGCCCGCGGCGGGATCCGGGGGGTTTGAAATGAATAAAACTAAAAAAAAAAGAGACCGTACCCTTTTATGTAATGATGTTTACTTTGAATTTATATTCGTTCACACAAACACTCCATCCATGCTTTTGTTCCGGCCCTCCGTCCAGTTTAAGAACCCATTGTGGCCCTCGAGTCAAAAAGTTTGCCCACCCCTGCTCTATCCTCTATCCCCTCAAAACTTTCCATTAAGGATATTATAAAATACAAAAAGCTACCTAATAAATAGGCAATTTTAGTGCACAGCGTACAATAGGCTATCATATCTTTATACAAAGAAATTTAAAATGCAACACTCAGCCACTTACATGAAGTAGAGGGGTTTCAACTACTTCTCGAAGTTTCTCAATCTGTTCCTTACAGCCACCCACATCACTGTATGTGACATCAGGTTTTTCCTCTACCTAAAAGAGGGAAGAAAATGTACAACATATAGCCACAGATTTCTGAATACTAGTCCAAAAGTTTTATCTAGTAGAGTAGACCCAATACCCTAAAGAAAAATCAAATTTATACCAAGTACTAATTTTTTTTAATGGAATATATTGCCCAGTGCACTAGAACCACTTGCTATATTACTTATGATATTGAGAGATAAACTAGCAAAGACTAATAAAGACTTTCTCAACTGAAAAGTGGTTTAGAAAATTTGGGCAAATCAATACATACCCACATATTAACAATAAATATCAGTTAAAGTTTCAAACTTTCTTGAGATGGATGCAGTTGTATTCTAAGTCATGCCATTTCTTTTTCCCCCATAGTTTCTTACCTGCATCATGGTAACTGTTGGGTCAATCTTAGGAGGCAGTGGAATGTGAATTTGATACTTATTTCTGTCCACACTAAAAAGGTAAAAAAGATACAAAGATATTCAAAAAAACTTTCTAAGTGAATTATGTATTCTGTAAACATGAATTACATTAACTCGATCCTTATAACTATCCTCCACTTACACCATGTTACCTTAAATAGGCTGGCAAACTCAACTCTCAAATTCTGCATTTACTTTATGACATTTGAAGTCATTCAGTAAAAGCCATAGTGGGGGTGGGGGGAAAGAGGAAGGTGGGAGGTCAGGAAGTGGATGCAGAACAAAGGATGTTCAAACGGAAGTACTCTGCTAGATCATCCCTTGGTATTCCATGGCAACCAGTACATTCATTCAAAAGAAAGCCACGGATGTGAATGTGACATGGTATCTTTAATGAAAAATGAGTATTTATTATATATAGTAATCTTACCCAACTCTCATCCCTTCTTCAATGTCAGTAGGTGCTACCTGATCACTGAGGTCCACCACAAACTTGGCAAACTGCTTCACGTTGATAATGTACTTTGGGTCCTCCGAATCAGCATTGATTATCTTTGTACATCTAACACAGCAAAAGACTCGATTAGAGTAAGGAACCGAAACCACTAATAACGAATTCAAGTAACTAGATTCTCCCCTGGGCATGCAGCACACTAATGAGCAGGTGTAAACTAGAACTGCAGAAACTGGGCCACTGTTAAAAGATCCTTTTCTATAGAATATGCTTAATTCCAAGGGCCCACACAAATTAAGCCAAACCATAACATTTTTAAAAGATACATACCCCTGGAAATTTAACCCAAATATTTCATCATCAGGAAGTTCTCTAATTTCTTGATTTTCATAACTATATTACTTTATTAGTGATACTTCTCTATGTCTTAAGTCAGCAATTTTCAACTGGTGTGCCACAAGAATTTTTAAAACATGCAGTACCCGACTATTTAGTCAGAGGCACTGACCTCTTTTCCCTTAGATTGTCAAATAAAAAAATGCCAACAGCCAACACAACAAAAGCCATCCAGTTGAATGAATAAAAAGTATACCTTTTTTGTCCAATCAGCAAATAGAGTTTTTGGTATGCCACAGAATTTTAGTAATTAGTTTGTGTGCCATGAGATGAAAATGGTTGAAAACTGCTGTCTTAAGTTACTTTCCTTTTTATTTTCCCTATCAGAAGACAGTCATCTTGTCTTACACTAAGTAATAAATGTTTTTCCATTCTTTCCTGAGTTTATACAACGATTTTTATTGTTGTTGCAGTTTTTAACCTAAATGTATTTTTTTTCAGTGACACATGAAGGCACATTTATAATTATGTGTACATTATACAGAAAGTACTCTACTGCCTTTCCTCTTCTATATTATTTGTGTACTGAAGAAAAACAAAAACAAAAGACAGAACTCATGTTAGAGAGAATTCATGTCATAATCTGTAACAACAAATTCAGGGAAATACAACAGTCTCTGGAGTATGCATACAGGTAGCATGAACAGTAAGGTAAAGATGTTTTGTCCTTGAAGCATTAACTATGTGACAAAACTCTGTTTCCTGTTACTAGCCCAGGTCTACCAGGGAGGTAGAATTACATAAATAAAAGTATTTATCACTACTTTATCCGACAGACCCTGCCAACACTGTATGAACAGATACGGATTTTTTAATCCACAGCTGAAAGGTATAGACCCATACAGGGACCTCAACTTCCAGAATGGAAGTATGCTCCTCCGTGAAGGTTAAGTGAATGCTGGCAAAAATAGTTAAAAAAAAAAAAAAAGCAAGAACGATTAGCATATTAGAAGAGCAATCCTAGAGGTCCAATATTCAAATGACAGAAGTCCAAAATAGAGGACTTCTATTACTGGATATTAGAAAATGGAAAGAAAGAAATTATTCAAATAATTTCAAGAAAATGTGCCACCCTGAAGGACATGAGAGCCAGCAGCATGGGTGTAAATACACCAACATCAAGGCACATCATCCTGACATTTCAGAACAAGCGACAACAAGAGAAGACCCTACAATTTTCAAAGGAAAAACAGGTCACATATACTGAACTGAGAATCAGAATGGCTTCAGACTAACACTACAGATGGAGGACAATGAAACGATGCCTTCAGATTTCTGAAGGAGAAAAAAACTGTATACCAGCCAAGACATTTACAGACATGTACCGTCTCAAAATATTACCTCCTAAATGACCCTCTTTCATGAAGCTACCAGGGAATATGGCCCATCTAGTGAGGGTAAGAGTAACCAAAAAGAGCTGGTACACAAACAATAGGAGAGAGGCAAAGGGAACCTCCAGAGTAAGAAATGACAGGATGATTGTGAGTCAACAGGCGTAAAGGGCAACTGGTCAAACTGAAGCAGGTCAGAAAGTGCTGGGGAAGATCAACCTGAGAGATGCAGCAGTGCACCTGAGGTATACACGAGGGAAAACCCGACCTACTCCATCTGAAAAGCAGTGTAGACAATCAGGAGAAATTGAGGGGTTTAGTGATATACATACAAATTATGACAAGTAAAAGAAAAAGTGGTCCAAGAAAGGAAAAGTAATCACAATTTACTTCCTGGCTCTTTATGAATAGGGTTTATTTAGCCATGATTATGCTGAATACTGATCTAACCTAAATTTTAATATAACTACATTAGGAGGATGTTGGGACAGGAAGCTATACAGCAGGATGAAGAGGACCAAACTACTTTCAGTATTTGTTATGTCTGAGAAAGGGACAGTGAGACAGCGAAGATGGAAGGAAGATTCACATTTGCCCTGCATCTTTCTGTATCACTTTGAATCTTTTATATGATTATGGCTTCACCTATTTCTTGAATAATTGTTTAAGGTATACACTTTTAACCCCAGATACTTTTGTAGAAAGCTTTATTTACTTGGAATTTAGAATGAACATTATACCTGAGACTCAAATAAATTTCCACAGGACATACCTCGCAACCTGCAGAGGCTGTTCACTCTGGAGTGTTTGCTTATCTGCAGCCAAATCCCAGAGTGCTGGTGGGGCCAGGCCAGTGTCAGACTCTTTAATACCTACATAAAGAGATTATAAAATTCACTAAAATGTAAGCATCACTAAAGCAAACTTTCTCAACCTCTACACTAATGACATTTTGAACTAAATAATTTGTTGCGGAGGGTGTCCTGTGCATTATAGGATGGTTAGCAACATCCCTGACACTAGCCACTAGATGCCACTGGCACCATCTCCCCCTCAAGCCCTGAGAATCAAGACTATCTCCAGACACTACCAAATGCTCTGAGGGATGGAGGGGGGCAAAATCACCCAGCTGAAAACTGCTGCCCTAAAGTAGTCATAAGCCAAAACTTTAATAACATATTTGACATTTTTTGTGGTCAAATATTATAAAATGTCACCACTGAAATTTCCAAGAAAAGTTTCCAATTACTAGGTCCACTTGCTTCAAGCAGTACCATGTGAGATCGTATTTTTATTCAATAAGAAACTTTAACTGGTTTTAAGAGTTTATTAAAGCCCTAGCTGGTTTGGCTCAGTGATAGAGCATTGGTCTATGGACGGAAAGGACCCGGGTTCGATTCCGGTCAAGGGCACATGCCCAGATTTCAGGCTCGATCCTCAATGAGGGGCATGCAGGAGGCAGCCAATCAATGATTCTCTCTCATCATTGATGTTTCTACCTCTCCCTTCCTCTCTGAAAGCAATATAAAAATTGTTTGTAAAAGGAAGTAAAAGAGCTTATTAAATGAGATTAAATTTCTTAAAAGATAGGAACGATAAATTTTTAAAATCTGTAATTCATGAAAGAGCAACATTTATATTTAAATTCTTTGATATGATTAATACATTACATTTAGAGAGAGGAAACAGAAATTAAATTATACCAGTGAGCTCATTAATTTTCTTGAGAAGTTGTTGAATGTCATCTTCAACCTGCTTGATCTGCCTAGAGTAAGTGCTCTGACCCTAGGAGATAAAGTTCAGTTTAATTGGAGCATCAAGAAATCAACAATTTATTAAATTACAAAAACACTTAACAGTTCATACATTTCACGTACAGTAAATATTTGTGTAAATTGTTTCAAATATCTTTCTACAGAGTTCCACATTTTAATTACAAACAGTATAAAAATAATGTTTAAACTTAGACACACTGAATATTTACACTCTGATTTATTCTAGATAGAATCTGTAAAAAGGTGACTTTATTTCAGAAAAGATTACTATAAACTTCTAGATATTCTCTTCTAATTATTTTGGAAGAGCAATACCAACAATAGTTCTTATTTCAACATAAAACATCTATATTTTGCAGACACTGAAAGGACTTACATAAGTTTTCAGCAAGGCGATATCACCCTCATCCAAAGCTGGAAAAAAAGAAAGAAAACACATAAGATTCAAACAAAAGAAATTAGAACTAACAATTCTCTGTTCAAATCCAAAGCTCATTAGTTGAGTGAGAAAAACTGTGCAAAGTTGTAATGATATAACTACAACCTTCAAATAGTTGCTGGAATCCTGGATAACTGGGTGAAGGTGGATTTAAAAGAATACACAGCCTGGCTGCTGGCGAGTCTCAGAGAGATGTGATCCATTAAGAACAGGCAGCCCTAAGAACAGCTTGAGAATCAAAACAACCTGACACTAGTCCCAACAAAGTCAAGCATTTGCTAAGTAACCTTGGAAAAATCATTTAATCTCTGAGCACCAGTTTTCTCATCTGAAAAATAGCGACAATGGTCCTTTCCACCACGAGAAGACAGAAGATGCCTGTCTGCAACCTGGAAGAGGGCTCTCACCAGAACCCACTTATGCTGACATCCTGACCTCAGACTTCCAGCCTCCAGAACCAATCAGACCATCAGATACCTGCATCCAAGAAAGGACCTTCACCATGACGCCACGCCCACCCCTACCCCCGAGAGTTCATCTTGCACAACAAGTTAAATCCAAAATTACATAACTTATAGCAAAGCACATAAAGAGTGGCTTTACCCCTTGGCCAGGTAATTCAGTTGGTTAGAGTGTGTGTTCTCCTGATATGCCAGGTTGCAGGTTCGATCCCAGGTCAGGGCACATATAAGAAACAATCAACGGCCTTAGCTGGTTTGGCTCAGTGGATAGAGCGTCGGCCTGCGGACTGAAGGGTCCCAGGTTCGATTCCAGTCAGGGACATATGCCTGGGTTGTGGGCTTGATCCCCAGTATAGGGGGCATGCAAGAGGCAGCCGATTAGTGATTCTCTCTCATCACTGATGTTTCTCTCTCTCTCTCTCTCTCTCTCTCTCTCTCCCCCTCTCCCTCTCCCTCTCTGAAATCAAAAATATATATTAAAAAATCAATGAATGCATAAAGTGAAACAAATCGATGTTCTCTCTCAAAAAAATATATAAATAATGAAAAATAGAGATAATAATTTATCCTCACAGTGTTGCTATAAGATTACATAAAATATGAAGAGCATAAAATACTATACACACGTTAGCCACTAACTGTATCCAAGGGATAAATTTATTACCTCGTTGACAGAATATCACACCCAGAGAAGTACACAGAAGGAATGTTAAATCTCTGTAACTAAGTTTCCCATTAGGTGACTGAGTACCTCTGAGGTTTACAGTGGCCTAAAATATTTTCAAGGGAAAGAGTAGAATATGAGATGAACGTAGAGAGGGAATGCTCTTTCTTTGAGGAGAGTTTGGAAACAGGGAAGAAGGGCACTAGGAGAGGCTGAAGTTATTTAGAGAGGGAAGAATTAGAGAAAAGAGGAAAAAACACCTTAAGAATGCTTTAAAATAGTCTATAAGGAACAAAAAACAGCATAAAGATGAGACTACATAAGGGCCTATGGGGAAATTGTGTATGAAAATGGTGTGCATGTCTCATGCACTGTGTGTAAAAGCGTACAGTCTCCAGGAGACTAATTTGGCCGTTTCTATCAAAATTACAACTCCATTTCTAAAATGTATCCTACAGCTTGTGTTTGTGTATGTAGTAAAAGTTACATGAACAAGGTTACTCACTGCTCTATAACGGCCAACAGACTGGAAGAAAAATGTCCATGAATAATGATTAATTTCATACATTACACCCCCAAAACTGGAATACTATGCAGATGCAGAGAGACATAACACTGACTCCATATAATATAATAGTTCGCACTAGCTGGTTTGGCTCACTGGATAGAGTGTCCGCCTGCGGACTGAAGGGTCCCAGGTTCGATTCCGGCCAAGGGCATGTACCTTGGTTGGGGGCACATCCCCAATAGGGGGTGTGCAGGAGGCAGCTGATCGATGCTTCTCTCATCGATGTTTCTGACTCTCTACCCCTCTCCCTTCCTCTCTGTAAAAAATCAATAAAATATATATTTAAAAAAATATGAACTGATTTCTAATACATATTAAAACTGAAAAGCAAGATGTACAGGATGCTGCATTTACGTAAAAAATAAAATACATGAGTAAAATTGCTAGCATATGCATAGAAAATGTCTATTTGCTTCTGTGGATAAGGGGTGGCTGGGGCCAGGGCTGAGACAATTGTCAATGTATCTTTTCTCCCTTTTGAGTTTTAGGCATGTAAAGGTATCATCAAGTTAAAGGAATTTTTTTTTTTTAAGAAAATTATGTTTCAGGACCCTGGCTCTGCGGTAGGCAGTTAGACAGACATGAGCAGAGCAAGGGTGATGGGTCAGGTACAGAAATTCACCAGGGCAGGAAGCCCCGGGTGCCTAACAGAGGACAACTGTAGGGTAGGACCTTGCCCCCAGTGTGACCTTTCCTCCCCTTGCATATCCCTGGTCAAGCGTTTGGACCCCCTGACCTTCCCTCCCGGGAGCCCCAGGCCCAAAAAGGCAACAAAACCAGACCAGGCACCCTATGGCTGACCTCAGGACCAGCTGCTCTGGATAATGACCCCCTGCCCTGAGCCAACCAACCAATTAGTGGAGACCTAGGCTCTGAAAGGACACACCTGGAAAACTGCTGCGTAGGCTACTGAGATGTCCCCCTGGGACTTTCCCTAAAACCTCCACCCTCAAAACCCTTAGGACTGTGCACCCTGTCCCTCCCCCTCCTCCCCCCAGGCGCATCACCTTCACCTTCCTCACTCCCGAACTCCAAGGGCCCTTCCTTAGCCTCTAAAACGTGTTTCTTTTTCTTTTTTTTAAATATACTTTATTGGTTTTTTACAGAGAGGAAGGGAGAGGGATAGAGAGTCAGAAACATCGATGAGAGAGAAACATCGATCAGCTGCCTCCTGCACACTCCCTACTGGGGATGTGCCCGCAACCAAGGTACATACCCTTGACCGGAATCGAACCTGGGACCCTTCAGTCCGCAGGCCGACGCTCTATCCACTGAGCCAAACCGGACAGGGCTAAAAGGTGTTTCTTAAGTCCATTTCTTCTACAAATTACTTCTTCTACCTCCGCGATTTCCCAAATAAATGTTCTCTTATAGTGTGAGTCTGGCCTCCGAATTCTTTCCCAGCCAGAACTCAGGCCAGAGGCTGCTGAACCCGGGTGCGGGCTGACCCATCCCGCCCACAACAGCTCCAGGCGGTCTGTCCCACTTCCCAGCACGGGGCCCGGGGCAGAAAGGGGATCCAGGTGACCAGCACCACTAGGCGGGGCAACTTCCCACGGCCTGCGAGGCCGGGCAGGGAGCCCGACCTCTTCAAGACCTGAGAGCTGAACCTCAATAACAGTGTCAACCAGCGGGAGATGCAGAAGAACTTGGAGCGCGTGAAGGAGACGGAAAGGGCAGGCGGGCTAATCCGGCGGCGGCCCCAGATCAAATCATCAGACGCACAAAAGGGAGCGAGGACCGAGCGCCCGGCAGGAATCCCGCCTCGCCCCCGGGGCCCAGCCTGGTGCGAACTCGGCCCGCCCGGAACTCCTGCCTCCGTCCACTGACCTCGGATGGGCTTGTCCTCCTTCTCCTCCTCTTTGGTTTTCCGCTGATCCGCACCGAGGTAATCCGGCATTTTCGGAGATGCAGCTGCCTCGGCTCCGTAGTAATTACACAGCACCTTCCTCGCTTCCGGTGGTGCCTGCCTTGTTCTCCCCCCCCCCCCCCCCCGGAAGTAGACCGGCTCCGCGGGCCCCTTTACTCTGCGCACCGGAAGCGGAAGAGCGCCCCGGGATACGCGCGCTGGCGTCGGGGGCGTCGGGGTCGCGGGGTCGCGGTTGTGGGGAGTAGGAGGATTCCCTGTTAGAAGAGAGCCCAGCCTCACTACTGCTTGCCCAGCAACAGGTTTCAGGACCAACCCTGGCTCAGCCGCTGAGTTTACGTCCTGATTTAGTTATTTACCTATTGTGTACTCTTGGGCAGCTTCTGTACATATGCTTTAATTAAGCCTTTACTTCACACTATGGCGGAGGCTTTAAATAACTGTTTTATTGTTTAAATAACAGCATATTAAATATGCAATAACAGTGGCTAGATCTACAAGTAGGGTGGAGGTAAAGAGGAGCTACCTTCTATTTACCTTGAGTTATAAACTTGAGTTAACTCAGGATGGGGAGACAAATGTTTTCAATTTTTTTAAAATACATTTTTATTGATTTTAGAGAAGAAGGGAGAGGGGGATAGAGAGAGAAACATCAATGATGAGAGAGAATCATTGATCGGCTGCCTCCTGCACACCCCCTAGGGGGGATCAAGCCCACAATCCGGGCAGGTGCTCTTCACCGGAATCAACCGGGGACCCTTCAGTCCGCAGGCTGACGCTCTATCCACTGAGCTAAACCTGCTAGGGCTGCTTTCAATTTTTGAACCTGCTACTAAAGCAGAGTGGTACCATCCTCAGACACAAAGAAGTCGGGGAAAAGAGCAGGTTTTGAAAGAAGTGAGTTTGGGAGATGAGGAATGAAGAGAGCAATTAGGAAACAATTGTAGAATTTAGAAATAAAGTCTGGCTCTTCTGAGTATTAGAGGATGCAACGTGAAAAGGAGAGGAGTACAGGATAGGAGAAAATATTGCAAATCATGTGATAATAGTTAATATCCAGAATATATAATGTACTACAACTCAACAAGAAAGCAAACAACCGGCCTTAAAAACTTGGAAATGACCCTGACCGGTTTGGCTCAGTGGATAGAGCGTCGGCCTGCAGACTCAAGGGTCCCAGGTTCGATTCCAGTCAAGGGCATGTACCTTGGTTGCTGGCACATCCCCAGTTAGGGAGTGTGCAGGAGGCAGCTGATCGATGTTTCCCTCTCATCGATGTTTCTAACTTTCTATCCCTCTCCCTTCCGGTCTGTGAAAAAAATCAATAAAATATATTTAAAAATAAATAAATAAAATGTGCCTACTTCCTTTAAAAAAAACAAAAAACTTGGAAATGCACCCCGGCCAGTGTTGCTCTGTGCAGGGAACGGTTGCAAGTTTGATTCCCAGTCAAGGGCATGTACCTGGGATGCAGGTTCCATTCCCCACCCCAGTCAGGCACGTTGGGGAGGTTGGGGCAGGGTGAGGGGGCGACCAATCCTTGTGTCTCTCCCACATTGATGTTTCTCTCACCCAGTGGTTCTCAACCTGTGGGTCGCGACCCCTTTGGCAGTCGAACGACCCTTTCACAGGGGTCGCCTAAGACCATCCTGCATATCAGATCTTTACATTATGATTCATAACAGTAGCAACATTACAGTTATGAAGTAGCAACGAAAATAATTTTATGGTTGTGACACAACATAAGGAACTGTACTTAAAGGGCCAGAAGGTTGAGAACCACTGCACCCCTCCCCCTCCACTCTTGCTAAAAGAAAAATCAATGGGGAAAATATCCGCAGGTAAGGATTAACAAAAAACAAGGGGGAGGGATAGACTTGAATAGACATCTCTCCAAAGATCATATACTAGTAAATGCCCACCAAGCACATGAAAAGATGCTCAACATCACTAGCAATTGGGGAAAATGAATCAAAACCATGAGATATCACCTTATACTCATTAGAATGTTGACTATTAAAAAAAGAAAAAGAAAACAAGTGTTGATGAGGATGTTGGGAAAATGGAAACCTTGTACAGTTCATGGGGAAGTAAAATGGTGTAACTGCTATGGAAAATTAAAAATGAAATTGCCATATGATCCAGCAATTCCAGTTCTGGATATATACCCAAAGGAATTGAAAGCAGGATCTTCAAGAGATATTTGCATTTCCTTGTTCATAGAAGCATTATTCAAAATAGCCAAAAAGCGAAAGCAACCCAATCAACAGATGAATGGATGAATAAAATATACATACAAAGGAATATTATTCTGGTACATACCACAATTGTGAGACATTGTGCTAAATGAGTAAATCAGTCACAAAAATGACAAAGATTGTATGATTCATCTTATATGAGATACACAGTAAAATTCATAGAGACAGGATGTAGTGCCCTAACTAGTTTGGCTCAGTGGATAGAGTGTTGGCCTGCAGACTGAAAGGTCCCAGGTTTGATTCCGATCAAGGGCATGTACCTTGGTTACAGGCACATCCCCAGTAGCGGGTGTGCAAGGAGGCAGCTGAACAATGTTCTAACTCTCTATCCCTATCCCTTCCTCTCTGTAAAAAGTCAATAAAATATATTTTTTTTTAAAAAAGAAAGTAGAATGCTGGTTGCAGGGAGTGGGGTGGGGGTGGGGATGGAAATAGGAAGTTGTTTAATGGGTATAGAAATCCAGTTTTGCAAGATGAAAAGAGTTCTGGAGATTGATTGAACAATACAGTTAATGTACTTAATGCTACTAACCTTTACACTTTAAAATGATTAAGATATTAATTTTCGTTATGTAAATTTTACCACGATTTTTAAAAAAAGTATCCTTGCCCTAACTGGTTTTGCTCAGTAGTTAGAGCTTCAGGCATGGACTAAAGGGTCTCGGGTTTGAGGTCAACACATGTACCTGGGTTGCAGGCTCAATCCTCGGCATGCAGGAAGCAACCAATCGATGTCTCTCTCTCACCTTGATGTTTCTCTCAGCCACTCTCTCTCCCTTTCTCTCTGTCTCTCTCTTTTTCTTAAAAAAAAAAAAAAAAGTACCCTTTATGACCTTAGAGTGATGGTGAGAATGGATGGGGGAGGTGGGAGAAAAAATTATTAATATTAAGAAAGTGGAGTCAGGTTACTTTGAGACTTAGAGCCTCTTTTCACAGAGGTTGATGAGTCAGGAAGAGGATTAGAGATGATTAGCTTAGTTTTTGAAATGTCAATTTTGAAGTGACTATTTTGTCATTTGGTAAAATTCAATATATTTAACAGTAAAATGTAATTCTCAGAGAATAATTTTAGTTTATGATGCTTTTTCCCAAAGAGTAGCACATCATGCCTTCTATTTTGCTCTACCTATTCCAGATTGAATGGGGGAATTAAAGGCGTGAATCTTCACCCACTGGTTTCCTTTTGCTAGTTCCTCCTTATGACCCCAGTACAAGAAGGAATCATCTAGTAGGAGTACAATTGATTTTGTTACACATTACAAAATTAAGTTCCAGAGTCCTGTAACTGGGAAAATCTTTACAGAAAACTTCATGCTTTAGAGCAGGAGAAAAAGTTGCTGGCTTTTTATTAGAATCTAACACTAGATAGAAAAGAGTTTCTTCTCCAAATATTATGAGGATTAAATTAAATGATGTAAGTAAATTACTTAGTTACAGCACAAAAAATGTTAAGCTGCTATTATTATTTAGGTAAACACAAATGCACTACAGGTATATGTAATCCACAGAATTCTCTATGGATGTATAAACTAGAATCATTCTCAATGTAAACACATCTTTTCCATTTTGATTATGCAAGTAGAGCTCCTGGAAAAATCGGTGGTTAGGTTCAGACAAGTATCAGCATGAGTAACAAAAGCAAAAAGAATATAGTAAAAGCTGCTTTAGAAAATTATGCTCTACAGTTTGCACCTGGACGAGGAAAATTTCGTCATCCTTTTTACCTGGGAACTGGTGAGTCTAGGAATCTTTCTTTCCTGAGTCTTGGTACCCAGCCGGAACTGAATCAGTGGACGCACCAGGCTGCCGCACACGCTGGCGGCGGGCTTGGGGGTCGAATGGCCCCAATACACACGAGAGATCCAACCCGGAAGTAGTTCCTGGTTGTCTCCAGGCGCCGGTTCCTGGGCGTCGTGGAGCCAAGGCGCGAGGCTCGGACCGGGAGGTGGGACTGTGGAACGCTCAGCGCGCTCCGCCCGGGACCGAGCCGCTGCGCCCGCGGGGCCGGCCCCGGCGCCACCATGCTGCTCCTGCCGAGCGCTGCGGAGGGCCAGGGCACCGCCATCACCCACGCTCTGACCTCCGGTACGTGTCCACTCAACCCCGGCTCCGTCCCGCCTCGGCCCCCCTGCCGCAGCCCTCCACTTCCGCGACCCCGAAACCCTCAGCCCCGGCCCCTGGCGACTAGCTCCCCGTCCTGTGGGGCCGTGACGAGCGCCTTTTCGCTCCCTGCTAGACAGTAACTCTCCCCCAGACTGCGAGGGAGGGGGCGCCTCTTTTCTGCCCCGAACGTTTCTCTCTCCTCGCGGCCGCTGACTCATGGGTTGGGCCGAGCGGTTCGGGACCGAACCCTCCGGGACCCTGATGCCCGCTGCGAGCTGCCAGGGCGCGGGGTCGGACCCAACCTTTGCTGCTGGTGCTCGACACCTTCCCCCCTCTCTCCGTTCGCCCCGCTTTGTTTTTCAACTGTCAGACCTCAGACCCCGGTCCCCGTGCTCAGTAGAGAGACCCTGGCCCGGGCCGCCGCTGATCCGCGGGGAGACGTCAGCGCGGCCCGGCGGGGAAGCGTGCCCGGTGCTTAGGGTCCGACAGGTGACGCCGCGGACACTAAGCTCGAGTCTCCGGCTCAGCGACCTGCGTGAGCCACCGCAGCCGCTCGGGACACGCTTGTCGGATGTGGTTCGGAGCGGGTATCATGGCACGTGTTGCATTCGTGCGCACTTCACCAGTGTGCCCAGTGGTCGGCGCCTCCGGTGCGGGAGGCCGCGGGTCCCGTTCCCGGCAGAGCACCTGCCCCGGCTGCGGGTTGGAGCCCCGCTCCGGGCACAGGGGAAGCAGCAGGTGGATGTGCCTCT